GAAATTATGAATCATAAAAATAGAAATAAATTTAAAAATTGTTACGTAATATGATCCAATTTAATTATGTAAATTTAATTTAAAAATATAGCGCGAAGGACTGTATCAGATTTAAAATAAAACAAACACAAAAAAACAAATAATTAAAATGAATTAATTAAAAAAATGAAGTTAATTGAATCAAAGTTAAAATCCGTCTCGAAGTAGACCAAATGTTTAGTGATTAAACTTGAGAAGTCGCTGGTTTAAATTATATTGAATAAATAATTATAACGAAAAAATGTGATATTGTTGATACATAAAATTGGTGAAAATAGCAATTATAAATTGTAAAAGTAGAAATAAATTTGAAATAAACTGGTTTACTCATTATCAATGTTTTATATAAGAATAGACTTACCCTTTGGTTCTATTGATGAATTCGTACCAAGCTGTAGAGTTGGCCGGTGGTACCGACGTTAGCGTCGCCGTCCCGAGGCTTAGCACGAAAACGAAAAACCGTCTGGAACTTGATGCGTGTCGATCGATCGTTGTCTGACAAAGAAGTGGTAGTTGATAATGCGTTGATATGGTCACAGCTAAGAATCAAGCCCTCTAAGCGGTGGTCCCAGAGGGTGTACCAATAAATCATTCCATTGTATTGCGACCCTTCCGATAATTTTAACTAATTGTGACGGTAACACGAAACTTTTGTGTGTATATTTTTGAACCATACAAAAGAGAAGCCAAATTCTCCGTATACACAACATCATAAATGAGATATCCAGTTTAAGTTTTATGAGACAACAGGAAACAATATATTTCAAAAAGGTCTTTTAAAATACACCACCAAATTAGGTCATATTACAGTACCGTAACAGAAAAAATATTAACTCTAAAAATATAAAATGAATGCGCAAATACTTTCTCCAACAACTGGATTAGAAAAAAAATGAGTATGTTATGTTTCTGAAGTGGTTGCCCCTTCAGAGAGATGGTCTTCTTCGAAATTATTTTGTGAGGATACCGAGATTATGTTTTCCGCGTCAGAATTATTAGAGCCTAGTTCCGTTTTATTTTTTTTTACTAATTCTAGTTATCCGTATTCTATGATTATTAGTCTTTGATTATTATTCTTAAATGGAATCATCAGGGATGTTTGAATCTCGAAATTGTCATGGGATGGAACAAAATATACTTGCCCGTGAAAGGACAAGATATAATTGTATTCATCTCCTGGAATGCCAGCTCGTAAAAATGATATTGGAGAGACAAGCTGAAGTCAAATGTTTTTAAGGGTAGGCTTCTAATATTTCATTGGGTATTGAAGGACAAATATTAGACATAATCAGTCGTTTTGCTGGTGTGATTAATCTTCGGATGAAAGGATATGGTTTCCGATAGTAATAGTGGAATTTGTGGAAATGAGCTGCTCAACTAGATCTGTTTTGGTTAAATGAATACATATTCTTCTATTTGAGATCCTTGAGGCGAAGCATATACTCCTTGGTCCGATAATATCTCCTATGGATTTAACGTAGTCATATAACTTTAAGTCTTCCTCTAATTGGATCACTAGGGCTTGCTTCTTCTTTGGAAAGGAGCATTTCGCTGCTGTTTTAACTGTTGCTGTGTAAGAAATGGAAGGCTGTGAGATATTTGCTGAAGTAGATTACTGTGACATGTTTGACGTTGTGGGTTTATTTTCAGTCGGTGAACTCATATTATTATTTGGGGTATCCTCGTAGTCAAAAGCAACCCTGGAAATCTTTTTAGTTTTGTTTTCCATTGGTTAATATTATGTTTAGCAACCAGTAATTACTCATCGTAATTCTGGCTGCCTAGTCGACAGGTAGTTGTTCCAATAATAGGTTTATGCTTATTGTACCGTACTGAATTATTATTAAGAGGAGCAAAAAATTTTTACTAAATAAAATGTAATAGTAAGTAAAATATTTTTATGCACGTAAATGCAAGTAAAATTAAATTTTACTCACCGAAATATTACTGGCAGGTACACAACACAATATCTTTACTTTACTGTAATTGTTATCAATTAATATCAACTATTTCGCTATTTAGGCAACAAAATATTAAAGAGGTTGTCCGATTCGAACATATACGTTCTAGCTCGATTAGGCCCATTCCACATTTTGGAACATCAATCTTACATAAAAAATAGTGCGTTTGATAGATCTTAAATATGTAAACAAACATAGGAAAATTAACATTTAACAGCGTTTAATGAAAAGACTAAGGTATAGTCCAGAACGTAATAGATGGTAACAAGAGACAAATCAAAGAAGCTGCTCATGTAAAATGAAACCAATTGCGTTACAAATTTCTGGGTAAAATATAGTCGAATCTGGTTAGTCATATTAAAAGAAAAAATAAATGGAAAGAAAATACAATTAGTACGTCAATACCATTTCAATGATACATTGTTTAAGTTAAAAAATAACATAAATACATAAAAATCAGAGTTTGGTGTTAGTATTGAGAGTAAACTAAATGTATGACCAACTACATACAAATTACAACAAATTTTATGTTATGATTTTTCTGACAGGTAACTAACAGAATAAACTATCTTCAAATAAAGTTGTCCGAGAAAGTCAACTCAAAAATATTGACAATGACAATATCATTTTAAAGTCATCTACTTTAAAATGTATAATATATGTCTGAATTGTCAATATGAATGAGGCATTCTATTAGAATAATTTTTGGGCAAGTAACAAAAACATGAAATTAAAAAAAATAAAATATGGTTGAATACTCAAATATATGGATTTTACAAATAATAAAAGGTAGATAGATATTGAGTTTTTGGTTGAGATTTACTAAAAGAACATAGTTCTTTTAGTAAATCTTACCCGAGTAGGTTCTTTCACTCTCAGAGCATAATTAGGGGCATTGCTTCAAAAAATTTGGTTATCCAGCACATCATCGAATGTCATAAACATTCACAAAAAACTAACTAACAACAAAGGACAAACAGTTTTAAAAGCATCAGGAACAAATAAATGTTTGAATGTAAGAAAAAAATCAACAAGGCAAGGAGAAATTGGGACAAGTAATGTCAGGGGAAAATGATAAAGTAAGAAGAAATAGCAACAATAAATATAGTAAAATTAGGAGGAGTCGGAGACATACATTCGAAGAAAATAACGTATCTATTATTAGTGACAATATTTTGAGAGAACCGGTGATGTAAAGCTCAAGAAAGGCAATAAAGACAATTGTAGGTTTATTTGTTTAACAGAAATTATGCTATTATAGAGTTATTTATGAAAAAAAAGGAAAATACAATAAAAATAGAGAAATAACAGATAACATCTAAATATTGAAAATTATTATTTAGAAGAAAGTAAACCTGGCAAGGCATGTATATTGCGTGTATAGATATATAGATCGAGAAGCAATATGATTAATAGTGAACTATAACGATTACAAAAAAAAGTATTTATAAATTACACTTCTAGTGACAGCAACTTTAATGGAATCTTTTATTTATATGATCTACTAATAAAAAGATGAGTAAAGGAAACATCCAATGGAAAGAACTAACTAGAAAATCAGGACTACAATAACGAAATCTTCTCTCAGATATTGAGTTTCTTATTTCTGGTCTAGAACCTCAAGAGAAAGACATTGTGAGGTCTCAAAGCACTAATGTTATCACTAACTTTTTACACAAAACAAGTAAAGAAGGACATTTTTTGAACACAATATACAATGAGTGTAAACAATTTTTAAAATCAAATCCAGAAATTTGCATTGTTAGGAGTGACAAAGGTAATGTAACAGTGGCAATGTATAAGAATGATTACATTAAAAAAAAAGTAATATTTTATTAAATGACACAAAAAGTTACATAAAACTTAAGAACAGTCCGGTGTGCACCCTCCAACAAAAGGCGAACAAGCTGGTTTCGAATTTAGCTTCTTCCAAATCCATAACAACAGAAGTTGCAAAATCTTTGAAAATTTACAATGCAGTTGCACCCAGGTTTTATACACTGTCTAAAGTTCATAAACCCACTATTTCAGTGAGGCCTATTGTATCTTCCATTGATTCTCCCAATAGTACATTTGCTAAACACCTTACAGATATTCTCACAATTTTCTACAACGAATCCAATGAATTCTATATTAGAGATTCTTTCACATTTAGTAACTTCATTAACAATGTTAAAGTTCCAAATAATTATATATTGATTAGTTTAGATGTTGTGTCACTGTTTACAAACTTACAACTAGATGATATTCTTAACAGCATTCAAAATAACTGGAACAACATCTCTTCGCATACTAAGATCAGTTTAGATGACTTCATAAGAATGTTAACATTTATATTTGACCACATCTTTTTGTTCAATGGTAATTTTTTTAGATAAATTTTTGGCACTTCAATGGATAGCAAAATATCCCCCATACTATGAAACTTACCCTTATAAACTTACCCTTATAGACTCAGTTTCCAGCTGTTCTCCGTGCGTAGAGGTTTTCTCCCCGGCTCTGGAACTCAAAACTTTTTACAATGTATGTTACCTGAAGTCATATCTAATTTAATAATGAACATCACAGTTTTTTAACAACAAGATGTATAATCTTTGATAACAATAAGTAATTTAAAGGGTTTTTACCCATGTATTTTGGTGGCTCAGGCATTTTAACCTAGCAGATTTTAAACCTGATGATGGACTGTTTAGTCCGAAAACGTTTGTTTTTTTGATGTAGCCCTTTTAAGGGTTTTTAAATAAATATACCCACTTACAAAGATTAACCTCTTTTTTTTTTATTTACAAATTAATCTCTCTTTAGGATTAACAGCATATTGTAAAATTTCGATTGGTACGTTATTCAATATTTTTTGTTTGCTTATATTAATTGATGTAATTGATGACATATAAATAACTAATATTAATACAATTTCTAATATATAGTATATCATATTTAACTTCTTAAAAAAAATTACACTGGATCTTTACAAAAACGTAAATCAAATGCAATTTTTAGGTGTCCCACAGTTTAGATCGATTAGAATCCGTGAGCAACTTCACAGAATTTGTCAAAGCATTTAGTCAGTTTGGTGCTGAAATGGTGGAATTGGCGCATTTAACGGGTGATAGACAGAATGATCTCAAAGACGAAAGGAGAAGAGCTCAAATGGCTGCTGCTAGACAAGTATTAGAAAGATCGACGATGATGTTGCTAACTTCCAGTAAAGTAAGTACTTCAATATTTAAATCCTTTCATATGTCATATCAGACATTATTTAAACATACTTTTTTATATCACGTAATAAAAAGATATAATGTCCTGCTAATGATTATTATATTATGTTGTATAAAACAATTATAATTTTAGTATATTTGTCGTTTATTATTACCGTAATTGTATACTGATAATAGTATTTTTTGAAGGTCAAGACAAGTTTATTATTATCATGTTACTAATATTAACGTTTCATACTGATTTATGTTTGTAAGTACCACACTAGCAACACATTTTTTAAAAAGTTGTCTATAACTACGCTTCTACCATTTTTTCCCTATACCATTTTATTTTTTTCTAGTACTATAATTTTATGTTAATATTGATAATTGATCTTTTAATTTATTCTCTTGGATTTTATTGTCAGAAGTATCTAAATTTGATCAATCTGGCTGCTGATGCGATTGTGATTCTAATCAGAGACATTTTCAGAAGAGTGGCCTACACCCAAATAAAAATCTGTGGCAAATAATGCCCGACCCCAGAGTCCCAAAAATATAATTTTTTCTATAATTGCAAAAAAATCTATTTAATTTCCAGTATGATAGATTAAGTACCATGGTTAAGGTAGCATGAGCTTTTAGCAAGTGGTTCATATAATACGCAATCAGTTTCTATTTAAGAGGCAGTACGTAGTCTAAATATAAATTGTATCGAGTGTTGAAATGAAAAGTAAAGAATACCTTATAATTTATCAAAATGATTTAGAAATAAAAAACAGCTACAGAAAATACAGCTTAACCACTTATTTTCACGAAGGTGAAGCATTTATTTACTCTCTTATTTACTTATAATCTAGATGTTGTTTCTTTGAGTAATATTCATTTTAACGATTGGTAGGTTGCTTCTTAATCACCCACCAAATTAAATCAGGGTTGGAACCGGCTGCGATAACTGCACAGCTACTCAATCCACCCCGCGTTACTCCAGGCAGGAAACACGACAAAAGATAGTTTCCCCAAAGAAAAACAATTAGTAGGAGTACGTAAACGATGGAATGACAAGCGATGAAAAACAGACATATGGTCAGTAGTCATGTCTACATAAAAAAAAAGAAGAAGGAGAAGAGGAATCTAGATGATATGTTTAGTTCCGAAGTACACATGACTAATAAGAGCCATTTCTATATTCCCAAATATTCAACCTCTGTAACGTAACATGCATTAAGTAAAGCCCACAGAGGTACGACGACTATTATAAGAAATAACATTAAGCATTATGAAATCAATAAATTTAGTTGAGTCATCCAAGCCACATCAGTGTCGGTCGAAGATTTATAAGTCCTGATTATTTTATCTGCTGTTTATTGTCCGCCGAATAAAATAATTAAAGCTGATCATTTACTAAATACTTTAAAATGCTTGGACACCGTTTCATTACTGCTGGAGATTATATTGCTAAACATCATAAATGGAGCTCCAGAATTAGAACCTTATTTAAATAAGTTATTAAAAAGTATTAATGAGAATTATTTAATTCCTCGCTCTACTGGACAGCCTACTTATTGCCTCACTGATAGACTAAAAATTCCTGATCTTATTGATTTAGCTGTAGTAAGAAGAACATCCCTTTCTCCAAAGATCTAGGAAGTCAAATTTGTAACTGTCTTAAAGATTTAACAGTTTTGAATAAGACAACTAAAACGGATATAGAGAAGAAATAAAAACATCCATTATCCTAAACCTGCCTCTTAAAATTGATAGCAACATAGAAAATGCAGTTACTCGCTTAACTATAGCTATTTAGCAAGCAGCTTGGACGTCCATTCCAGGATTACGTCCAATTACCTGCAAACACAACTTCGAGTCCTATCCTGCTCACATAAATACATTTATATTTTAAGAAAGAAAACTGTGAAAGAGATGGAAGTTCACAAGGCATTCAGAAGAAAAAGCAAATCTTAATAGACCTCACAGTCTACTCAAATATTCTCATCATATTAAAAAAACAAAGATCGGGCTCTGTAGGCCACATATCTTGGGTCTAACCCTTATACATATGTATAATTCACATCAAAATTTTTTATAAAACATGGTTACCACATACAGCAACGACAACAGCTGTTTTTGACTTACATTTTAGTATTTAGTATTTTACTTCAAAAATGTAAGTCAAAAACAGCTGTTGTCGTTGCTGTATGTGGTAACCATGTTTTATAAAAATTTTTGATGTAAATTATACATATGTATAAGGGTTAGACCCAAGATCTGTGGCCTACAGAGCCCGATCTTTGTTTTTTTAATATGTCGTTTGTCCACAATTTTCATTGTATGAAGTATTTATTTCCTAATTGACGATAGCTCTGATGATGACATTTATTATGTCGAAAGTATACTCAGCTTAATTAATAAATTATTTTACACACTATCAATTTTATTGAAAACATACAAAACCTGCTTACCAGTTAGACCTAAAGACAATGGAACCAACAAAAATTTAAAGAACACCTGCAGATGATACCAATTATTCTCTGTGGAAACTAAAAAACGTAAACACAACGAAAAAATGAGTATTCCGATCAAAAAACAAAATAACACTTGGACAAAAACTGATATAGATAAAGCATATAATCCACAAGGAAACTAAGTTCCTGTAACTGGCTGTATAGGGTGTATCACAAAAAATTTATTTAAAATCCTTTATAAAAGTTTATTCAAATTTATTTAAAAAATTTATTTAAATTATATACCTTCTCTAAAGGATTTTTAAATATATTTTTCATAAAGCATATACTTTTTCAAATCATATATGCGAGGTATTTCAACCGCACAAAAGGGAAGTGTCTCACCTTGAAGAAGAGAAAGCTATTCGTGAATGTAAGTCGTGAATGTACAATATCAAATGGATGTGCCTATTAAATTTGTTAAGAAATTTTAAAATAAAAAAGCAATTGATAAACTGAAAATTAAACTGTCACCTGAATAATATAATATATCTAGACTAGTTCTAAAAAATCTACCCAACGAAGACGTAAGTTTATTTGCTTATATACTTAATTAAATAAAAAACAGGTTATTTTCCACTCCAATGGAAAGTTGCTGAAATTGTTTTTCTTCCTAATAAGGATCACGCGAAAGTATCTTCATATCTCCCAATTACATTATTGCCTATTATATCCAAAGTGTTTAAAAGGCTTTGTCTGAGAAGAATGGAGCTTATTTTATATGACAGTAATGTTTTATCGAATTGTCAGTTTGGGTTTCGAAAGCAACATGGCACCATCAAACAAATTCAGAGGATGGTAATGAAATTTGCTCGAACACAAAAATTACCGTACCGCTGCATTTCTAGATGTCTTCCAAGCATTTGACAAAGTTTGGAATGTAGGTCTTATCTTCAAACTTAAATCCATATTTCCCCGTTCCATAAGTTTATTTTTAAGAGCTTAGCTGAGGAGATCGATTTTTTTAAGTCAAAAGAGGTAGGGAAATCACTATTATGTTCCAATATGTTCCGGAGTTCCACAAAGAAGCATACTAGGACCAACCTTTTAGTTAATATGCATATTAACTAAAAAATTAGTAAATATAGCAATAGCTGCATATGCCAATGACATAGTTATTATTGCTTCAAATTCTACAGCAACTGAAGCAATCCAGGTATTGAAAAATCACATGCTTTAAATAGAGAGCCGGCATAAACTATGGCAAGTCCAAGCCAACACTTTAAAATCAACACAGATAACGTTTACTTAAAAAAAAGTGACGTGCCACTAGTTTCTATAAACAACACGCTACTTCCAGTACATACCGTCCTTAAATACCTTAGAATTTATTTGGATAGCAAACTTAATTGGGGCATCCACATCTGGCAGACGCGTCTTCCGTCAGCAAAAAAGTTATATGCTTTATACTTTTGAAGAAACTGACGAGCACAATCAAGACGATTTGGCTTGTGTTCTATAAATAACCGCGAAATTCATCGATCACTTTACTTGTGACATCTCAATTTTTCAGTACAAGCTCTTTTCATTTTATCTTAAAACCTACTAGGAATTCAAGTAATCCTTTCATTTTAAAACCCTTTGCGTTGGACCTTCTCGATATATGCCTCCGTTTTTACTCTGTTCTTTATTGTGGACTTTCTTCTAATTAACAATAAAGTCGCTGCATGTTTTTCAGACGTATTCAACGAATATACACCTAGAAACTGACTGTTGTTATCCACAGGTACAGTCCCTTTTGCATAAAAAAAGGGAAAATCTAAAGTAGGGAAACAGCTGCACTGGATTTTACCTCGCATATTCCTCTGCAACTGAAACTCGTGCTGGAAAATCAGGAAGTTTGATTTTGTTGCAAATTTAGAAAAATTTCAAAAAAGTTTACCAATTATTTCACAACGCTTTGTATACACTTATTTTTAAATTTGATTACATTTATTATTTCTACTTACTTTTAAAATTGTTAATAGAATTTTATTTTTATTTGCTTAGACAAGCTTGAGGCATCCAGAATGTACATCTGCAAGAGAAAATCGTGATACCGTATTCTGCCAAATGAGAAGAGCCATGGACCTTATTCATTATGTAGTGAAAGACGGTGTCTTAAATAGTGCCGATTCAAGTGTTCAATCAGTTCATAGAGAAGGACTATGTGAAAGTGACAGAGGAACGGCATATGCCTGTATACAGCATTTGCAATATCTCCTCGAACATAGTAAAATCTCTATGGGTAAGTATTGGCAAGGTATTACCTAGTATACACTAGTTTATTTTTTTTTTCTTTGCTGTCTTTAAACGGACGTAGGCTTTTCAACTAGTAATACCAGGTGACGTAATATTGATAAATGACGTTACAGAGCCACTGTAATCAATCATTATTGATTACGGACCTTATGGTGAGTGATATCTTGTTTAAAAGTTATTAAACATACCTATTCAATTATACTAATTTTGTTTGGGTTTAATCTGATTTGAAGCTATCTGAGCTGAATAAATTAAATAAATACTAAAATTACAGTTTTGCTTTTAATAATTAAAGACCCTAACGTCAGCCCCAAATATTTGTCAAAAAAGTTGACGTTTTTCAATTCTCTAGTTGTTTTTACTTTGCTAAATTCTTTAATTGTTAAATATTTAATTTAATTATTGTTTAAGGATACGTTTAACTGTTTTTATATGCAGAATAGTACGTACTGTAGCCGACAAAGTAGGTGTTGTCCTAATCATTAGTGAATATAAAATCAATTTCCGTGGAGCAAAACTTCTTTTCAATAAGAGGTACCCCGATATCCTAATATCGAAGACTTATTTGAGCTTTTTTGGAAATTTTAAGAAACAGGTAGTGTTCAAAATGCCAAACGATCTGGTTGACCAATAATTAGTAGTCATAACAAAAATTGACATAATTGCAGTGATGGTAGAATGCAGAAACTCTACTTCTTCTACAGCCCAAGTTGCGTTTATTTGTGGAATCGGTGAAAGGACAGTACACCGACTGTTGGCTAAAAATAAATTTCATTCATACAAATTAAAAATTGTGTATCAACTTTTAGAGGATAACACTGAACGAAGTCTAGAATTCTGTGAAAATACGTTCAATCAAATTAATCAACAGCCAGATTATATAAAAACAATTTGTTATAGTGACAAAAGTACTTTTTTGCTTAATGAAAGTGTTAACACACACAATAGGAGGTATTGGAGTGACACAAATCTTTACGTCTTTCGTGAAAAACATACTTAATTTTCAGAAAAAGTAAATGTTTTCGAGATATTTTGGAAAACCACATAATTAACATTGTTTTTCTTAACCAGCCCATCTCGAATGAGATGGGCGGATGATATTAGGAGAAGATCGGAGGACACAAATGGAAGCAAGTGGCGCAAAATAGAAGACACTGGATTAATTTGGGGAAGGCCTATGTCCAAAGTTGGATTACTTAAGGCTAAAGAAGAAAAAGAAAAAGAAGACCTGAATCTGTGACGTGTGTCTGAAAACAAAACGCAATTAAGCCGGTAATTCTCGAAACTCTAGAAGATAATTCAGATGAATTCGGCAACTTGGAAATACGGTTTTAATAATATGGTTATCCTGTACACTGTTGTTATGCAATAATATGTTATCTAGATAATGAATATCGTGGTAGATGGATTAGACGACGAGGTTCGATATACTGACCAGCGCGATTACGGGACCTCATACCCTTAGATTTTTTTCTGTGGAGTTATTTGAAATTTTAGGTTTTACGCTACAGCACCCGATAGTATTGACATTTTAAAATAACAAATTGTTTAAAAATATAGGGCAATTTTCCCCGACACATTCAAACAAGTACAACAAGAGTTTGACTAGACGGAGTACATTTTGAACACTTAATACAACAATTGGTTCTTAAATCTTTATTAATTAAATGCGAAGCTACAACTCTAGTATTTATTTAGTTTATTCATCAAAATCAGCTTAAACCTAAAAATATTTTGTATGATTGAATAGGTACTTTCAAGTACTTACATTAAGTCCTATCTAAGATTATCGGTCACAGTGACTCTGTAATGTGATTTATGACCACTAAGTCACCTGTTGAGCAGTCTACATACGTTTATTTCCTCCCTCGAAATTTTACTATTATAAGTATAAACGTACAAAAGATATAAGGGGGAGTACAGTACATTTTAGAGAACCAAAACTACGCAAAAGTATATATATATATATATATATATATATATATATATATATATATATATATATATAGTATCATGCTTTATTGCTAATTTTCTGGTATATGTACTTATTTCCACAAAAATAACCCTAACGAAACACTTTGCATAATTCACACATTTTCCGAAAAATCTTGCTGAATATTTCTACAATACCGCTGGATAACTGGATCATAAAACCTAAATGATATCACATTAGGTACAACGTTGCAGGGGTATACACATTTAAAATTCTGATACAAGATTTTTCCATTATATTCTGTAAACAGTATATTACATTTACGAGTTTGAATATCAAATCCAGGCCAGCTTATTTTTCGCCGTTTAGGGTGTTATAAAGGCTACATAAAATATATGTGTATATAAATTTTGTTTAGTAATACTTTTTATATCATAAGTATATATTCGATTTGACAACTCACAAAATACTATCTTGATATGTACAAAAGTATACTGTAGAGTTTATTACAAGACGAATGCCTATATTTTAGGAATTGTTTCAGGAAGCTACTCTAAATTAAAATCAAGGGCTTTAAAAAAACTTTATCAAAATTAAAAAATATTTTAAACAAATTATATAAATAGTAGATAATACGATTCGCAAGGATTTGTTTTATTTATTTTTTTTTTCAACCAATTATTTGAATATTTCTGTTACCTGAATGGTTTCCATACGTCAATAAAATATATCATCAAAATATCAAGTAAACAAAATTTATGTTATTGTATCTTTTAGACCCTTCCTGTCAAGAGACACTTCCGACTGCTTTAGAGGCTGTCTTAGAAAGAACTCAGGACTTCACTGACAGTGCCTATACTAGCCATGAACATAGAGAAGCCATTTTAGAATGTAGTGAAAGACTTAAAACTGAACTGGATCATCTTCTAGGTCTTTATGCAAATGTAGTAAGTATCTGGAGTATGCATAATAACTACAGGGTTATCATTTACACAATTTTTATCAAGTAAGAAATAAAAGAAAATATTTAATAAACTAAGAGTAGGTACATAAAATTTATATATTGTCTAGTATACCATTATTTTTCATACTATTATATTTATATTAAATAAGACGATGTGATGTATGTGTTAGTCAACAAAGCGATTTTACATTACTTATGTATTTTAATCGAAGTTGCAGTAAGCAGTACCGATTCGAACTTCGTACAATTATTACGTTAATAATCAACTTGTTTGGGTTTTTAGTTTAGGTGTTTGTGAATAAACATATACATTTCATCATCATCATCATCATTCCTCAACCTCTTGCATCCACTGTTGGATATAGGTCTCCTCTATGTTCTTCCACTGTTCTCTATCTTGCGCCTTCTGTATCCAATTTCCGACTGTTTTTCTTAAGTCGTCCATCCATCTTTTTGGTGGTCTGCCTCGATGTCTTTTGTCTTTTCTAGGTCTCCATTCTATGAGTCTTTTGGTCCACCTATTATCATTTAAACGTGCTATATGTCCAGCCCATCTCCATTTGGCTTGTGCAATTTTTTCTATGGCATCTGTTACTTTAGTCCTCTCTCTCACCATATCTTCTTATTATGCATCTTCTTCTTATTTGCAAAATGTTTGGTTAAAGTTATTGTTTCGGAACCATATGTTATTACTGGCAGTATGCATTGGTTGTAAACCTTTTTCTTCAAGCAAATCGGTAGCGTTCCTTTTAGAATATCTCGCATCTTCCCATATGCTGCCCATCCCAAGCTTATGCGACGCTGGATCTCACAAGTTTGATTGTCTTTTCCTATTCTAATTTCATGCCCTAAATAGATATAGCTAAAGACCTGATGTACTTCGTTCCCATCTACCCTCATAACATCACTTGGAACTAAATTGGTCATGTATTTTGTTTTTTCAAAGTTTATGTTCAGAACTATTCGTTCTATTGCCTGTTTTAATTCTTCCATCATTTTGTGAGCTTCATTTAAACTCTCGGCTATAATGACAATATCATCTGCAAAGCGCAAGTGACTTAAGTATTCACCATCAATATTTATTCCCCTTTTAGCCCAATCTAGTTTTTTAAAGGCATATTCCAGAGGTGCAGTGAATAGTTGGGGGGAGATGGTGTCGCCCTGTCTAATTCCTCGCTCAATTCTATATTTATCCGTAAAGTCATGAAATTTAACAGATGCTGTTGCGTTGTTGTATATGTTTTATCAAATTTGTATATCTACAGTCTACTCGGCTTTATTCTAATGCTCCTAATACTGCCGGTAATTCCACGGTATCAAAAGCTTTCTTGAAGTCTATGAAAATCAACTTGAGTCGTTTATTATATTCAACACATTTTTCAATTAGTATTTTAAGTGCTTGTAGGTGGTCATTTGTTCCATAACCTTTTCTAAACCCAGCTTGCTCCTTAGACTAATAGAAATCTAATTTTCGTTCTAAACGTTTTGTGATGATCTTGGTAAACCATATGTAGAGATGTAACAACAGACTTATTGGTCTATAATTCTCTAGGTCTGATATATCTCCTTTTTTGTATATTAGGATAGTAATTGCATTGTTCCATTTTGTAGGGACAATACCTTGGTTTAGAGATAGGTTGAATAGTTCAGTTACTACTTTCAGCAGTTTCTTGCCTCCTACTTTAACAGCTTCTATTACTATTTGGTTATCTCCCGGAGCCTTGTTGTTTTTCATTTCCTTTAGAGTTCGTTTCACTTCTTCTATCGTTAGGGTAGGCAGAAGTTCGGATCCTTGGTTCATTACTCTGCGTTCTCTAATTTGTGTTTTGTCTTCTTCTGTTAACTGGCTTTTGTATAATTCTTCATAGAAGTTTTTTGCTATCTCTACTATTCTTTCTCTATTTGTTGTTATATTACCTTCCTTGTCACCATCATAAAACTTTGTTCTGAGTATTTTCATATTTCCATTTTGCTAATCATATTTTGTATTTTCTCAGTATTATACTTTTTTTGATCTTTACGAATTGCTTTTGAGATATCTCTGTTCAGATTTATGAGTTCAGGTGAGTCGCCTTTCTGCTCTGATCTCTTGATTTTTCTTTCCTTAATGAGTTTTCTGGTGTTTTCGCTCAGTTTCTCTTCTTTTCCGGCTGGTATAGCACAGTACTGTTTTTGTGCAGTCATTAAAGCTTCTGTTATTGCATTATTTACGGTTTTAACATCTGTCAAAATAGGGTGGTTTAAGGCCCGATTTATAGCTTTCACATATTCTTTTGTGTTTTCTGGTGTACTGAAACATGGTAAACATATACATTTAAAGTTATACAATTGTTTTAAAAGGGTTTTAAAACAATTAATGGGCTCGTCTTAGTGACCCTAGAATTTGTGCGGGTGTGTTTTTAAACAAAGTGATCAGTGCAGTTGAAAATCAAATTCATATTAGTAATGTACCTCCACCAGGACCTGGGTATGGAAACTGTGATCGAAATAATCAAGAACATCAGCAAGTCACGAGCAGAGGCTGCATAGTCATGTGAATGTCGAGGCAATCTAGCTTCTTGACAACACTGAACTAAAGAGAAGACTCATAAGGACAAAACCATTTGAGCTAGTGTAAATGTGTAACAGTTTAGTGTAAAAAGCAGAGTATAGTGCTGTGAAGTTATTGCATGCTAGTTGTAGTGCATTAGTTAATAGATAAAATAAGAGTAAGCCATATGGTAAGCCCTTAGATTTAAGTATTTGCTGTTATTATGTTAGGTCAGAAAATAACTGATAATTGGTCATTTGTGACTAGATAGCAGTATACAGTAAAAAAAAAATATTAGTAATATAGAAATGGACACGGATATAAACTCATTAAAAAGCAATCAAAACATGGGCGAAAAAACTTCTGATAAATCACACACAAACGAAACTCGTCTGTTCAATGTTTTGTCAGATAAGTATAATTTTAATATTATTCATGTTTATATAGAAAGTATTAACAATGACAATCTAGGACGTTTACATCCCTTATCAATTGGCCATATCTTACATAAAAAATTAAAAGTGCCAAATATTGTAGCGTTTTTTTATTTAATGTGTATATAAAAAATTTCTGTAGTACGTGGTAAAAACAACTCCTGTTGTTTTTACCAAAGAAAACAATCGAAATAATATTTCAAGTTTTTTTTGACGAGATTTTTAAATGCGTATTAACGCTGGAAATATGTTTTTATGTCTGTGTTGCAATGTTAGGTGAAACAACAAGTTTTTTCTCGCCAAAGAGGTATTATGTTACATGAAGTCCCCCTAATATTCCGGTTAGAATAATCAATAATGCGTATATTTCTATAACCGATGCAAACGTAAATATAGATGTTTTTTTGTCAGTGTTTAGATTCAAATATCGAACCTTTTGTTACAAGTCAGGTAGAACTTCGGTTTAAAATACGTGCTATTTTGTTAATTTGTGTTATGTATATCTATTTCGACGAATTTTTTTGTATATAAAGGGATTATAATTTATGATGCCTCCTGATAAAAAAAGGTTTTATTTGTCTTTCATCGTTAGGAACGAATAATAAGAGGAAGATTGTTTGTTTTAAGTTTGTGGACGACAGGCTAGCTGTAAGACGGAAGGGAAATTTTTTGGTTTTGGAATTGGTAAAATGTAACGCGGAAAAGAAGTGGAGATTTAAGTTCCAAGCAGGGCAGACGTGCTATCATGTAGCGTCCAAGATTAGCTTTAAAACGGGGCAGACATGTGAAAATTGAGTCAAAGATTTGAAACGGAGTCGACGATTAGATTTGAAGCAGAGCAGAAGTGCTACAATGTGAGTCCAAGAACCTATTTGAAACGGTGGTAGACGCTTTTTGCGGATGTGAAATGTTGGGATATTTTTGAATCAAAGATGATTCAATTTCTTTTGAAATGTCTTAGGACCGGTCAATGATAATACTATCAGATTTGAATAAATACCGGAGGCTTCTAAGAAGTATGATATAGGATGTCCCCGTAGTCGGCTCGATTCTTCCACCAAGTTCCAATCGTTTTGCCCTGGAGTGTAGAACTAGTTCCTGATGGTTTCTGCCTTCCAGTTTTGAAAGTTGTGTCCGAGTAGCTTCCCGAGAGATGTAAAGTTTCAAAGTGTTTGTATAAAAAAAAAACATTAAGGTAACAATTCAATATATTAATTTTTCAAAGTAGAGATAGATATTTTTTGGCTAAAGTAATAATTGCTTTCATAACAAATTAAAAAATTGTAATATGTATTTGTGTTATGACAATTTTAATTTGAGTATTATGTAGAGGCGATATTTCATATATAAGGTTAAATTTTATTATGTTTACATTAACAAAAATCCTTAATTTTTGATAATCTAATTGGTCATAATATTACCTAGAAACCATTTGAATTTTTGTAACAATCTTTGATGTAAACTAAGACATGTAAGTTTTGTTTATTTTGATTTATGATATAGTATGTTTGTTTTGTAACCCATAATTTTAATAACTGTTTGTTTGAGACAAAAATAAATGTTTAATTTGTTTCTCTGATCTATTTTGAGTTTTATTTGAAAAAGATATTTTTTTCTATACTTTTGATGTTCTATAATTATTTCCCTAGTTACAACTAGTGGTTGTAGCAGGTATAATTAGGCACCTCAAGTGGCGCCCTATATTAAATATCTTAAGGTGTTTCCGTTTATTTTCATTCTGTTTGTCCCAAGAGATTTGTATAAGTACCCCTTTATTTCTTTTTTTTTTTTGTAGTTGCCCCAATCCAACCCCCAATATCTTCAACTTATCTACGACCCAGCTCTCCAACAACCAACTGAGTGCCGTATGCACTTGTTTCGATTATTTTGTTTGCCATATCTTGTCCCCCCATATTCTTATCCTGTGGTAAGCAGAATAGTCGTTACAATATAATTGAAATAAAGAGTATTGGTGAAAATTGTACGTTTGTAAAGTACAAAAAAAGTACAAAATTGTAA